TGAATGAATAACTAGGACTGGGCTTTTTATAATTTAAAAAGATGACACAAAAGATTTACAGCCTTAGTCACATACCTATCTCGTAAGCAGCGGTAAGAAAGTCGATCATCAGGGTCGGCTTGCTCATGTGTGGCAAAATGGACTCGTGCAAAATCACCAGCACCTTCTTATAAAGGTTAGTCGATAGCTGTTAAAAAAATGAGTAATATTCTGTTTCAAATCTTCAGTAATATTTCAGACTTGTTGCTGGATTTCCTACGTTAATGTCACAACAAAGGCTTCCTGCAACAAGTGATGTGCGATTCAAGTCAAAGTGGTTTTAAAAAAACAAGCTCTCTCAACAACAACAAAGACCTGTGGCTGCTGGAGATCTGAAACAAACCAAAACAGAAATTGCTGGAGAAACTCAACAGGTATGTTGGCATCTGTGAAGACAGAAAGAGTTAACACTTTGAGTCCAATAACCCTTCATATATATTTACTGGTATGTATTATCCTTATACAACTGCCCCAGGAGGCCAATTCGATGCCACACCTCTTGATAGCTTTGGTTCAAACAAAATAGCTGAACTCCAGAGGTGAATGATAGTCCCTGATCTCAAGTCACATTTGACCAAGTGTGACATCAAGGACCCCTAGCAAACCTGGAGGACAGGAATCAGGCAAACTCTCCACTGATTAGAGTCATACCTGGCACAAAGGAAGATGGTCATTGTGACCGGAGGTCAGTTATCTCAGTTCCAGGACATCCCTGCAGGAGTTCCTTAGGTTAGTCCCTAGACCCAACCACCTTCAGCTGCTTTAATGACCCTCCTTCCATCATAAAGGTCAGAAGAGAGGATATGTGCTGATGACTGCACAATTCAGCACCATTCACAACTCCTCAAATACTGAGATGCACAGCATGGAAATAGACCCTTCAGTCCAACTCGCCAATGCCAAACAGATATCCTAAATTAATCTAGTCCCACATAGATTGCACAAAGTTGAAACCCCAGCACTGATCCCTGTGGCACCCTGCCCATTGCATTTTGCCAACCAGAAAATAACCCTTTATATCTACCCCGTTTCCTGTTAGCCAGCCAATCATCAATCAATAACATGTTACCCTCTACACCACAAGCTTTTATTTTCCACAATAACCATTGATGTGCCACTTTATCAAGTGGCTTCTGAAAATCTAAACTAAGAAAATTCACCAGTATCATTTTATCTACAGTACTTGTTACTTCATCAAAGAACTCCAATCCATTGGTTAAATATGATTTTCTTTTCAAGAAACTATGTTGGGTCTGCTTTTAGAAGTGCCCTGCTATAATATTTTCAATAATAGCTTTTAATGTCCTCCCTACAACAAATAAGCAACTCCTCATAACGTTTCCAAATTCTATGGATGACAAATGGCAACGCTGATGGCACTGAAATTATACTGCAGTACTTCCAGAAGGACAGTGTTTCAAGAATTACAGAGATGGTGGTGCTGAACTTTCTAAAATGCATAGTTCTGTGAGAAGCGAGGAAAGTGATTGCTGGGCCCCTTGCTGAGATATTTGTATCATCGATAGCCACAGGTGAGGTGCCAGAAGACTGGAGGTTGGCTAACGTGGTGCCACTATTTAAAAAAGGTGGTAGGGAAAAGCCAGAGAACTATAGATCGGTGAGCCTGATATCGGTGGTGAGCGAATTGTTAGAGGGAATCCTGAGAGACAGAATTTACATGCATTTGGAAAAGCAAGGACTGACCAGGGATAGTCAACATGGCCTTCTGCGTGGGAAATCATGTCTTACTTACTTGATTGAGTACTTTGAGGAAGTAATGAAGAGGATTCATGAGGGCAGAGCAGTGGACGTGATCTATATAGACCAGTTCGACAAGGTTCCTCATGGTAGATTGGTTAGTAAAGTTAGATCACATGGAATACAGGGAGAACTAGCCACTTGGATATAGAACTGGCTCGAAGGTAGAAGACAGATGGTGGTGACAGGGGGTTGTTTTTCAGATTGGAGGCCTGTGCCACAAGGATCGGTGCTGGATCCACTGCCATTCGTCATTTATATAAATAATTTAGATGTGAACATAGGAGGCATGGTTAGTAAGTTGCAGATGACACCAAAATTGGTGGTGTAGTGGAGTGCAAAGAAGGTTATCTCAGAGTACAATGGGACCTTGATCAGATGGAGTTTAATTTATAAAAATGTGAGGTGCTGCATTTTGGAAACGCAAACCAGGGCAGGACTTATACACTTAATGGAAGGTCCTGGGGGGTGTTACTGAACAAAGGGACCTTGGAGTGCAGGTTACTAGTTCCTTGAAAGTGGAGTCCCAGGTAGGCAGGATAATGAAGAAGGCATTTGGTACACTTGCACTGAGTATAGGAGTTGGGAGGTCATACTGCAGCTGTACAGGATATTGGTTAAGGCACTTTTGGAATACTGCATGCAATTCTGGTCCCCCTGCTATAGGAAGAATGTTGTGAACCTTGAAAGGGTTCAGAAAAGATTTACAAAAATGCTGCCAGGGTTGGAGGGTTTGAGCTATAGGCAGAGGCTGAATAGGCTGGGCTATTTTCCCTAGAGCATCAGAAGCTGAGAGGTGACCTTATTGAGGTTTATAAAATCATAAGGGGCACAGATAGGTTGAATAGACAAGGTTTTTTCCCCATGGTAGGGGAGTCTAAAACTAGCGGGCGTAGCTTTAAGATGAGAAAGGAAAGATTTAAAAGAGACCGAAGGGACAACTTTTTCACACAGAGGGTGGTGCATGTATGGAATGAGCTGCCAGAGGAAGTGGAGGAGGCTGGTACAATTACAACATTTAAAACGCATCTGGTTGAGTATATGAATAGGAACGGTTCAGAGAGGGATATGGGCTAAATGCTGGCAAATTGGACCTAGATTTATTTAGGATATCTGGTTGGCATGGACGGGTTGAACTAAAGGGTCTGTTTCCATGCTGTACAGCTCTGTGACTCTACAACTATATTTAAAATATTTTACAAAAGAAAAACTAAGAACTGCCAATGCTGGTAATCAGAAAACAAAAACACAAATTGCTGGAGAAACTAAGCAAGTCTAGCAGCATCTGTTGTGCGAAAGCAGAGTTAATGTTTCGGGTCCAGTGACCTTCTTCAGAACCTTTCATTACTGAGGTTGCACATTAAATTACTCTTGTCAGGCGCTAATACAAGGAGATGGACTTTGAACTAGCAAGCAATTTGATAGCAGCTTGGTTAGGGAGAGTTAGAAATAGCAATTTGAATGAAATAGGAAATTTTATGCTAGAATCTTGTTGCGCAGGAGACCATTCAGCCAATTGTGTCTGTGCAAAGTTGCCTAAGCTATCCAATTAGTTCCACTCTTCCTTGTCTTCCACTATAGTTCTCAACACTCCCCACTTCACCCCGTCCACAAGTATTTGTAAAAAATACATTTTTTCTAATAAAAGAGAATTAAAACATCAGTGCAAAACACCTACTTTCCACAGAGATTGCAACATTGTCACCACCCAAGAGCTCTATGATACAGCGCAACAGCAATACACATCCTGTTTACAGCTTAAAGCACCTGAAAGTTTCAACATAACAGCTCAACCACTTGCAGAGATGTAAAGCGAGCGTTGAGGACCATCAATAAACTCAAATCAGAACAGGAGCATAAAACGTGGCACAACTTTGTTTGTTAAATGTGAATTGAATCTCAGTTACAAAACATTTGGAGTACTGTGCTCAGTTCTGGTCTTCATTTGATAAAAAAGGTTACAGAGGTGCTGGGGAAAGCGTATACAAGATTCATAAGTATGGTCCAAAAATTGAGAGTTCATATCTATCAAGACTGAACAGTTATTTCTCTTGAAAAAGAAGTCGGGTGGGAGGTATATGAAGAGTTTGATAGGATGGATCTGAGATCTAGGGGGTCAACTATTCACGAACATTAACTAATAAACTACTTAGAGAATTCAAAAGAAACTTGTTCACTCAAACAGCATGAAATCATTGTCAAAGGAGTGTCTGAGCCGAATAATTTCTGTACATTCAAGGGTAAGCTGATAAACTGTGGGAGAAACAAACAAAGATATGCTGGAAGGGTAGTCATAAGCTGATGTGGAGCATGTACACCCTCAAAGGTCTAATTGAACCCAATGATCTGTTAAGTTCTACAAATACTGTGCAATATCATTGTGTTGCAAGGTGAATAGTTTTATCTTACCCAAAATATTTAACAGCGTGTCAAATGGAGGAACGTGATTGGATTATTAGCCATCTAAGTGCTGATACCCTGAAGGTGCGAACAGGATGTGGGAAATAAAACCTCAAACTAAACCGCAACTAAAAAAAATCAGTTAAGAAAAAGAAAACTCAAGCAGTATTACTTTGGAAGAAACGTACCTTGCGTTTAAGGAATGCTAGCCACAGTCGCTCAAACACTCTTCTGTGTTCCTGTTAACAGAAAACGGAAATTTGTAAAAGATACAGTGAAGTCAGTCCCTGCTAAGTGCACAATTAGTTCCTCAGATTGGCCCAACAATACTTAACAAGTTCATTCTATCATATATTCACAATTCATCACTGGTAGCAGTACAGGACCAATGGAATTTCTCATTTTCCATTACAGTTTCCCATCTTTTGATGCCTAGGAGTCCCCAGTAAGCAAGGGATTAACTTATTCCCAAAGATGTTGGGAAAATTGGCCAGCACAACACAGTTGCAATAATCATAAAATGGTTATAGCACAGAAGGTAGCCATTTGATCCATCATGCCTGTGTTGGTTCTCTTCAGAAGAAACTCAAGTTAGTTCCACTATCCACCCACGCCCCCCATCCCTGCAACATGTTTCTCTTCAGATAATTATCCAATTCCTTTGTAAATGCTACAAGTGAAGTTGCATCCACCACACTCCTAGGCAGTGAATTTCACATTCTAATCATTCAAAGTTTAATAAAACTTTATTCTCATGTCTCCATTGTTTCTTTTACCAAGCACCTTGAATTGCTGTCCTCTGGTTCCTGACCCTGCCACCAATGAGGATGGTTTCTTCCCACCTACTCTGTCTTGGCCTCTCTTGATTTTGACTACAGCTATTAAGTCTCCTCTTCTCTGAACAGTCCCAGTTTCTCCAATCTATGTTACTCAAGTTCCATATCCCTGGAACCATTCTCCTGATTTTTTTCTGCACCCCCTCGAATGCATTCAAATTTTCCGAAAGTGTGGCACGTAGCACCGGATAAGATACTCCTGCTGAGCATGGAATTTTATTAAGGTTCACTTTAATCTCCTTGTTTTTGAAAGGGGAAGGGGATTGTGCTTCTGTTAAAAATATGCATTCAGCAATGAAAAGCTGTTAAAGAAATCTTGAGAATGGTAGACACTTGAAGAGTCAGAGAGGTTTTAATGGAATTTGAACCACGTCACGGTGATTAAACAATTAAGCACACAAATCCAGGGCAGCAAAACAACATAAGGACTAACAACCATTATCCAAGAAAACACGATGGTGAGATCTGTACAAGAGGTAATGGTGATTTTAATCTCCTGAACCCACTGGCTTATTGTCGACAACCAGTGTCCATATTTGGGTCAGAAAGGGAAATGTCTTTTGAACTCCCTGTGTCAAAATGAGGGCATACTACACTCAAACATCACCTTCAGTCTTGCTGCCTTCCATTCTGTGTGTTTACCTGCAAGCAGAAAGGTTGCAGTGTTAACGTCTTCCTGCAAACTGAAACATCCTTTACAGCACAGGCAGTCAAACAATTTCAGTAAAATAAACATCACTATTTTAAACCCATACTGTACAACTGTCTCTTACTATCTGCATGGAAGAGATTTTCACCGTATTGTCTTGGGCTTGGTTTGAACTGGGATTCAGGAATTTGAAAGACATTGCACTAACTGAACAGTTCCTCCCACTGAAAATTTAAAAAAGATTGAGAATTCCATCTTGGACACTGTAGCACAATTGTTATTCAGGTAAAACACCAAAGAGATTTTTGATGGGAGCCTGTACAAGCTCAGACTGACTTCCCCAGAAATTAAGCAGGAAGACAACTTTGAGGATCAGCCTAAATCAAACTTTTCAGCTTTCTCCACATCACACTGGCAATCACCGCACTTCACTGGTGGAGAAGCTGGCTCGAACAATGCACATCACCTCAGAAATGCAAGATTTTCTTTTAAAATACCACACAGAGTTGATGAGAGGACACTTCCACAACTGGAAAGAATTCAGAGAAACAGAATATATTTGCCCCTGAAGAAAGACCACTAATCAGGGGCGATCAGCATGAGTGTGTTAAGGGAAGGACACTTTTGACAAATCTGATCAAATTTTTTGAGGTAGCCAAGAATGTTGATAAGCTTAATACATTCAATGTGGTCTACATGGTCTTTAGCAAGGCTTTTGATAAGGCTTCTCATGGCAGACTGGTCGAGAAAAAAACAGCCCATGGAATCCAAGGTAAACTGGCACCTTGGATCCAAATGCAGCGGCATGAAGCAGAGAGGGATGGTAGCAGAATGTTTCTGTGATTGGAATTCTGTTTCCTGTAGGGTTCTGTGGAGCTCAGTACTGAGACCCTTGCTGCTTGTGGTGTACATTAATGATTTGAATTCAAATATAGGTGATACAATCAAGAGGCTCATGGATAACACGAAAATTGGGAGGCTGGCAAATAGTGAGGAGGGTAGCTATAATCTGTAGGAGGATATCAGTGGACAGGTCAGCTGGGCAGAGCAGTGGCAAACTGAATTCAAACTGGAAAAGTGTGAGGTAATGGATTTTGGAAAGGCTACCAAGGTAAGGGATTACAGTATGATGGTAGGACCCTAGAAAGAACTGAAGACCAGAGGGACCTTGGTGTGCATATCCACAGATCCCTGAAGGCATCAGGGTAGGTAGTTAAGAAGGCATAGAGGACTCTTACATTCATTAACCAAAGCACAGAATACGAGAGCAGGCAGGTTACGCTGGAACTGTATAAAATGCTGGTTAGACCACAACTGGTGTACAGTGTACAGTCTACAGTCTGGCCACCACATCATAAGGAGGATGTGACTGCACCAGAAAGAGTGCAGAGGACGTTCAACAGGATGCTGCTTGGGCTGGAGGGTCTGTGCTTGAGGAAAAGTTGTACAGGTTGACATTGTTTTCCTTGCATCAGTGAAGTTTGACAGGAGATCTGACAGAGATGTATAAGATTATGAGGGGCATAGATAGGATAGAAAGAAAGATACTTTACCATTCGTGGAGGGGTCACTAATTAGGGGGAATGGACTTAAGGGCAGAGGTTACAATTAGGAACGGAGTTTAGGAGAATTTGTTTCACCCAGAAGTGAAAATGTGTTTGAGTCAGAAACTCTCATAACATTTAAGCAGTATTAAGATATTCACTTCTGTTGCCATAATCTGGAAAATGAGATTTGTGTAGTCAGATCTTTGTTGACTGGTGCAGACACAACAGGAACAGTCTCCTTGGTGCTGTAAGCACCTCCAAGTTTACAGCGAGGGATGTGCTGCTAAGGCTGTACAAGGCTCTGATCAAACCACATTTGGAATATCATGAGCAGTTTTGGGCCCCATATTTAAGGAAGGACGTGCTGGCCTTGGAGGGTGACATGAATAGGGAAGTAACACTCAGTTGCTCAATGTGGAGCTGGAGGAACACAGCAGGCCAGGCAGCATCAGAGTAGCAGGAAAGCGGATGTTTCAGGTCAGGACACTTCTTCAGAAGAAAGGTCCTGACCCGAAATGTCAATTTCCTGCTCTTCTGATGCTACCTGGCCTGCTGTGTTCCTCCAGCTCCACACTGTGTTATCTCTGACTCCAACATGTGCAGTTCTTACTATCTCTGACTCAGTTGCTCAAGCCTCCTTTGTCATTCAACTAATGGCTGATATATATTTTGTGTCCATTCACTCACTCGATCTTTGTAAACTCTGGATCTCCTTAACTAGCAATCTCGGTCCTGAAAATTTCAACTGACCAGCCCCACCTCTTCCTCAGCAACCGCAGGTTTTGGATTAGTCGAACTTACTTTCCTTGGTAACCCATCTTCTCCATCCAATGATACTTACTTTGCTGCTTCACAAGGAAGTTTGAGAGTTCTTTCTGCTCAGCCGGCATGTGAATTGAGGACAAAAGACCAAATGCATTTTGTTGATAAACTGGAAGCAAATCCTACAAAGAGATGATGAACAAATGACTAAATAGCAATGGTGCTTGTGCAGATTTGGAATAGAGCAGAACATAAAGGCTGAAAATTTACCCCCTTCGAGCTCTGCATTATTCTTGAGATATTATCAGCAGCATAAACCATGACGTAGTATCTCACATCCTCATACTCCAGGTACTCCTGAAATCGTGACAGTAGGGACGAAGTATCTCTTTCAATCTGAAGCAAATTGTCCACAAGTAACTGAAAGCAAACAGACACTTGTGAAAGTTAAAACAGAAACTGAAGGTCAAAAAACAAGATATACCAACACAGCAAATTGACTTTACAAATGAGATCTTTCATCTAAACAATGCCTTGCACAATGCGATGTCCTGGGACACTTCAGGAAGGGACAAGGAAAGGGTGAAATGGGCAGCAACTGCTTTTGTATGGTTTTGCAGCACTTCCCAAACATCTGGCCACCACCATCGCAAGACATTATTTTTACAGTATCTTTCGTGTAATAAAATGTTCCAACATGCTTCAAAGGTGCATTATAAAACCAGTGTAGATACTGATCCAAACAAAAGGGTTATTGGATCTGATTGGTCAATAGATAGGTTTGAAGGAGTGTCCTAAAGCAGGAGATCAATTCTGGAGCTCAGTGTTCAGGCAACTAAAGCATGGCCACTAAAGCAGAGACAAAAATCAGGGATCGGGGAAAACTGTCAGAAATGGAGGAGCTCAGAGATCTATGGGGGTTGGGAGTGTAAGAATTTATTGAAATAAAAGGTAAAGCCCTGAAGGGATTTAAGAATTTTAAAATCAAGGTATTGTTTCAGTGGGAGCCAATGTAGGGCCAGTGAGATTACTGGGTGTTGAATGAAAGTGTCTTAACACAAATAAGGGAATCAATTCCAGACAGTGAATACACTACCCAGAAGAGAGTTTTGAATACTGAAGATGTGCAATATCAGTATTCCTTTTTATTAACGCATGGAGCCATGCACATATCATGTACATACTAGAGATGGTTCAGCAAACACATCACCCCAAAGTGAGAAAGCAAGTCATTGCTCTCAACCTCAACTCACTCTCCACCCTTACAATTGGGTCAGGTTTCATGCAAAGAAGCAAACACAACTCAATTGTACTCTTACACCATCAACCTCTGCCCCGCCCTTGATAACCTAAATCTCTCAAGCTATCCACAAGACATTACAACAAATAACACTTCTCAATGAGTTTGGCTTCTGTCCTTCAAGTTCACAGATCAACAGTGAGAACTTGAAATTGTAATAGTTTCTCTCTCCACAGTTGCTGCCAGGCCTGCTGCATATTTTCACCATCTTTTGTTTATGTTAAAAATAAGTTTGATTTTCCTCTTTGCATCTTTTCAAAAAGCATACACAGGAACTTGCGCGTGACAATCAGAGTGAGACCAATTCCAGCATTTGTTATCTGATTGCAAATTATACAAAATGAATAACACACATGTTTCATGATGAAATCCCCAGGGCAATGCTTATTGCTGTGATAGGTTAGTCAGAAGCCACAATAACTTCTTTCATGACATCTAGACGTCATGATCTAGATGTCACGGTTAGAGGACATGAACAGAAAGCCCAAAGAAAACCGTATTCTCTTGCATATTTCTGTGCTTAATTTCTGTTTCTTTTAAAAATGGATAACCTTGCTGGACTCAAAGCAGGGCAGAAGGTGATCACATATTTCCAGAAGCTTCTGAACTCTCTATGTCATATAGATGACAGCCAAAGCTGAACAAAATACCTGAAGACGAGCTGCTTGCTTCCAGCCAGCTCTGGACAAAGAGATACATTAAGACCGAACATGCTAAAATGAGTGGTAATGCTTTTGAAGTTACCTTAAAGTCACCTCACGGTGGGAAACACTGTTGGAGGTGATAAGCTAAACGACCTTAGCAAGTTTGCAGATGACACCAAAATTGGTGGCATAGTAGACATTTAAAAAGTTTTTCTAAGATTACAAAGGGATCTTGATCAAATGGGTCAATGGGCTGAAAAATGGCAGATGGAGTTCAATCTGGATAAATGTGAGGTATTGCATTTTGGTACAACATATAAGGGTAGGGTTTATACAGTTAATGGTAGGGCCTTGGCTTGTGTTGTAGAACAAAGGGGCCTAGAGGTGCAGGTACATAATTCTTTGAACTTGGCATCACATATAGACAGGGCGTTAAAAAGGCGTTTGGCACGTTTGCCTTCATTGCTCAGTCCTTTGAATATAGGAGTTGGGACGTCATGTTGAGATTGTACAGGACGTTGGCGAGGCCTCTTCTGGAATACTGTGTCTAGTTCTGATCACCCAGTTATAAGAAGGGTATCATTAAGCTGAAGAGGGTTCAAAAGAGATTTACCAGGATGTTTGGTAGGTTTGAGTTATAAGGAGAGGCTGGATAGGCTGAGACTTTATTCACTAGAGCGTAGGAGCTTGAGAGGCAACCTGATAGAAGTTTATAAAATAATGAGAGGTATAGACAGGGTTAGTGGTAGCTGTCTTTTCCCCAGGATGGGGGATTTCAAGACTATGGGGCACATTTTTACGGTGAAAGGAAAGAGATTTGAAAAATACATAATGGGCAAATTTTTTATACAGAGGGTGGTTCATGTGTGGAATGGGCTTCCTGAAGAAGTCGTGAATGTGGGTACAATTACAACATTTAAAAGACACTTAGATAAGTAAACAATAGGAAAGGTTTGGAGGGAAACGGGCCTATTGGGACTATTAGTTTGGGATTATGTTTGTCATGGACTGGTTGGACCGAAGGGTGTGTTTCTGAGCTGTCTGAATCTATGACTTTCAATTAGCCCACTGAGATAGTCAAGGAACACCTGAAATGGCTGCTCGAAACCGGACTGAAATCTGAGCTTGATGAAGTGTTTTAAGTGGACAGTTCACGGATTCTAAGAGTTGCTGTCTATCCACAGAACAGGAGGTCTCCAGGCTGAGGTGTTAGCCTGCCTTAGACCCCACAGCTCTGTCTCCAAGTTGGCTGGGAAGAAACCAATTCTTTGCCTGCAAGAAGGAAAAACTATTGAGTCCAGCTTGCTAAGGAAGCTAAAACAGAAATTGCTGGAAAAATTCAGCAGGTCTGGCAGCGTCTGTGAAGAGAAATCAAAGTTAACACTTCGGGTCCAGTGATCCTTCTCAACTCTGATTTCTCTTCACAGATGCTGCCAGACCTGCTGAGTTTTTCCAGCAATTCCTGTTTTTGTTTCTGATTTACTGCATCCGCAGTTCTTTGGGTTTTTAACCAAGGAAGCTCCAGGATGTTGTAACTCATGTGAACTGATTTTTTAAAAATATCTCTCGATTTATCAAAACTTGAAATTTAGAATCTATCTCCTTTCCTGCCTTCCTGTCAGTGTGTATGGAGTATGGCAACAATTTCCCACAATTTGAGAGGTCTGTTAACAAACGCTATCTAATGACTTCACCTTAAAGGATTTTGCTGTAGGTCTATTTCAAAAACTGAAATCTGAAAACCATGGTTTTGGAAACACCTTTTGGCCTACCTCAGTAAGGGCAGGCAAAAACAGAAAGGATTAAATCAAACAATAACACATCATCTCAGACTTAAAGGAGGAAAAGCAATCACAATTTCAATTCTCTACCATTCCCACTTTGTCCGTGATACAGCACACAAAATGACAGGGGATTGTGGGACTGATGTCAAGAAGCACAAGTGCTCAAGGTGTGACTGGTACCTGGAGCTACCTGGGAACAGGGATAACAGATGAGAACAGATCAGCGAGGTACTACAACTCCAGGTTTGTATGGACAGGATAGGCTGAATGACCTGGGCCATTGTAAACATGCTCACCATTCATTGGTGCCTGCTGCAGTTTTGCAGTCAGTAGCATAACATCACGTGCTGTCTCCACTTCCTTATGAAAGGAACTCCTTTTTCCACCATGCGCAGAGATAAGCTCAGGACCGACACTCCAAGTCTACCCAGTAAAGGGTGCACCCAGTCAGAATCAAGACTCACCTTTAACAACTCTTGGGGAAAGATGTACCGCTCATTGTCTTCATATCTGACAAGAGGCCATCTGCCTTCCGCCTGAACGAATTTCATCAGCGTGCAGAGCACTACTTCCTGCGGAGAAAATAATCGGGAGTGAACGTGTTTTCATCATGGTGCAAAACTGTCATGTACGGGCAACAAATGCTGGCCTAGCCAGTGACACCCAGATTCTGTGGAAATATTAGAAAAAGTGACAGTGTTAGCCACCAAACTGACAAGTCACATTTTACCACAAATTGCATTTAAATGCATTGTACTGTTACTCAATGCAGTATTAAAAATAAAAACCAGGTACTGTAGGACAGAATTGAAATCATGAACTTATTCCATTTTAACCTATAATTTCTGTTTCTGTGCATCCCCACATCTGAAGCAAAGACTGGAGATATGCAGTTTGTATTTGGACCTTGAGTAGGAATAAGCGAGGGGATAGTTAACCTAAAATCAACCTTTCACAAATACCTAGAAACAAAATCAGACATTTACATTTATTTCAAACACAAAATGCTGGAGAAATTCAGCAGGTCTGGCAGCATTGGCACAGACAGAAACAGCTCTTCAGAAAAAAAGTCATACAGAACTCAATGTTAACTCTCTTTTTCTCTCTCTCTACAGAGGCTGCTAGACACAGTTATTCCAGCATTTCTGTTTGTTTCAGATTTCCAGCAGCCGCAGTATTTTGATTTTATTTATACACACATAATTGCCCATAAGCATGCATTTGATCATACTGCTAAAAGTTAATAGATGTGTTGCTGAAATGTGGGGATGTGACAAATATCCTGAGCCAACACTGGGATCAAACTGCAAGCATCAGGCTAGAAGAGAGGCAATCTGTTTCAGGGAAGGTAGGAGTACAACAAAGCTGTGTATTGTTGCCAAATTTATTCAACCTGTACACAGAACTGATTTTCAGGGAATTAGATGCATTTCCAGAGGGTAACATTGGAAGAACATAAACTTGTGGTATGCTGACAACACAGAATCAGAAGAGGCTCTACAAAATATCATGAATCAAGTAAAATCTAGAAGAGGTCTTTGAAATGGGAAGCTTAAAGTACAGTGAAAATTCCATACAGAAACCATAAAACAAATGAAAAGGTGTTAGAAATTCAAGAGCAAAAAAAAACCCTTAAAAACTGACCTGCAGAAAAGGAAATATCAGTATTTTGGCTGTTTGATCAGAGATTACTTTTGAAGCGCAGCAGAAAGAGGGGTCAACCCAAGACTGAGATGTGTGATGCATGTCACAATGTAGTGCAGATGAGCTACAGTGCATGAGAAGATGAAGCCAGACAGATGAATGTGTCAAACGATGACAGCAGACCTCCTGATAAGAACAGCTACAATCAGCAGTGTCCCCATTTGGAGTGCACTCTACAGCAGGTAAATCACCCAGTGGTAAAAGAGGATATAAAAATCTCTGGGAGCTGTGCTAACACATTCTGAGGACCGCATCTATTTTGTTTTGAAAAGAAAGCTGGAAAAATTGAGATTTTGCATTATCACTGGAGTGGAGAGAGCTTAAAATTGAATCAGAGATAGTAGGAACTGCAGATGCTGGAGAATCCGAGACAACGAGGTGCAGGGCTGGATGAACACAGCAGGCCAAACAGCATCATAGGAGCAGAAAGGCTGACGTTTCGGGCCTAGACCCTTCATCAGAAAAGGGGGAGGGGAAGGGGGTTCTGAAATAAATAGGGAGAGAGCTTAATATGTGACTTTTTGTTCAGAACTCAAAGTCAAAAGTGGAATGTGTTGAGTTGTATTTATTCAAATTACATGTGGAAAACCGGTTAGAGACTGATTTTTTTTTTCTTTTACTTTTTGCCAACAAAATGATGGAAACAACCTTGAGCAGAAGGTTGCCTAGTTTCACCTTTTGAACGGTTAGGTTCTGTTTGCCACAGGCTGAGTGGTAGTGCAGTTGAAAAGAGACTGCCAAAAAGCCTGCAGTAAAGACAGACCCCCCGCCTCTTGCTCCTAGAAAAGGAAAACCGCTTTGTGGTTCAGAGGTTTGCAAAGGTGCAGCACTGTCCTGCTCCCTGAAAACAAGTCAATGCTTTAACTGGACATGTACATTTTTGAGGGATCTTCACGGAGTAATGGAGCATAGTCACCAGCATGTTTCTCCTGTCAACTCTCATGACACATGGTAATGACCCTAACTCTGAACCAGGAGAGCTGCATTCAAGTCTCACCTGCTCCAGAGGAGTGTAATAACATCTCTGAAAAAGCTGATTAGAAAATATCTATTTTTCCTGTCAAGAGTCTTAACAATATAAACCCATAGATGTTGTGCAAAGCACAAATCGCTCAAAATACAAAATCACATAATGCAGGTCTTGCTTGCCTACAGAGATCCGAACTATATACTATGAAGTTAATACTATTATATTTTTAAGAACTGTATATCTTACCCAAGTATCAGGTTGGATTTGGGCTAACTATCCATCTGGTTCTGACCATAACTAATTTAGTGTTTATGCAAGTGTGCCTATATTCACCAAGGTATATATACCAATTCAAATAATGCATTATTAATCTGCAAAGCATGGCAGAGAAGCAGAATATTCAGCAGTAAGTATTAGCATTGGGCACAGGCAGAATTATGGTGCCTAGCTGTCAATATGTGCTGCTTAAATACTTCTCATCTGTGGTCAATCTCTCTCAGTACTGCACGAGAAGGCAGGATAAAACTTAGTCCCCAGCAGGCCAGAAGAGCAGATAGGGAAATTTGGGAATATTAGAACCAAAAAAAGCCATTCAGGTCTGTTCTGTCATCAGTGAAATTGTGGTTGATCTGTGATCACACACCCACTTCTATTCATTATCCCTTAATATTTTTGGATAACAAAAATCTATTAAATGAAGTTTTACAAGTAATTTAGCATTTTTTAAATTCATTCATGGGATGTGGGCATCGCTGGCTAGGCCAGCGTTTAAAGCCACCCCTAACTGGCCTCAAGAAGGTGGTGGTGAGCTGCCTTTTTGATCTACTGCACTCCATGTGCTGCAGTGACACCCACAGTGCCTTTAGGGAGGTAATTCCAGGATTTTGATCCAGCAATGTTGAAGGAAGGGTGATAATACTTCCGAGTCAGGACAGTGACTGGCTCTGACAGGAACTTGCGGCGGAGGGGGGGGCGGGAGCGGTGGTGTTCACATGCACCTGCTGCTCTTGTCCTTCTCGATGGTATAGACAGCAGGTTTGGAAAATGCTGTCGGAGCAGCCCTCGCATTTGTAGAAGACAGTTCAAAGTTCCTACCATCTTTTATGTATGGATGTGTTTCCTAAGTCTCGTTTTGGAAAGGTCTAACTCTAGTTTTTAGACAATGGCCCCCGAGTCCTGGACTTTCTCACTATTGGAAATAAAATCAGTAGAGGAATTAGGAAGAGGCCAGGAAAGAAATCAAAATAATTTGTGTTAATACAATTTATGAACAAATCATTATGCTACTGGAGTCCAGATGGGTAATTTTAATTGGCGATGGCCTAGTGATATTATTGTTAAACTATTAATCCAGAGACCCTGGTTCGAATCCTACCAAGGCAATATGGTGGGATTTAAATAAAAATCTGGAATTAAAAGTCCAGCTATGACCATGAAATTACTGTCATTTATTGGAAAAACCCATTTCACTAATATTCCTTAGGGAAAGAGACTGCCGTCCTTATCTGGTCTGGCCTACATGTGACTCCAGACCCACAGCAATGTGGTTGACGCTTAATTGCCCTCTGGGCAATTAGGGATGGGCAATAAATGCTGGCCCAGTCAACGACACCCATACCTTTTGGATGAATATTAAAAAAAAATTCAGGATGTAAATATTACTGACAAGACCAGCATTTATTGTCCATCCTCAATTGTCTTTGAGAAGATGGTGGTAAGCCACCTATTAAATAGAATTGAGTGCTTGTTAAGGCCATTTTACAGGGTAGTTAAAAGTCAACCACTTTGCAGAAGATGTGGAGTTACATTAGGCCAGATGAGTTAAGAACACTAGATATCCCTCCCTAAGGGTTATAAGTGATTTTTTTTTAAAAAACTGATAACCCACAGTTATTTATTCACCATAAACGACACTTTTCTTAAATTGCAAATTTACTTAATTAATTGCATTTGAATTGTCCAGTAACTGCATGGGATTTGAACTCACCTTTCTGGATCATTAGTCTAGGTCTCAGGATTACTCACCTCATGCTACTGTACATTCTTCATTTGATGGAAGAGACCAAACCTGAAGCAGGTTCACTGCAGGGAACTCACCTGTACCTGGTCCGATTCATGCATCATCAGGTTGATCAACTGGTCGATGCAACTCTGATAACGATGTCTCATCCAGATCTTGTACTTCACCTCGGCACTAGAGTCGGCTGAAATTAGACACACAGAACTGTTTATCCTGTAGGTTTCTTGCAAATTCCAAAATAATCCACAAAGGGACATGTTTTTACTGCACTTTAGGGTCTCGCTTTAAAAGCAAATTCTCTCTTTGTGTCAGCCCAAAATTGACAATATTAGTATTTATTAACATTGAAGATACCATGTTTCACATTAGGCTGAAGTGGAAGCTGAAATCTTGACTGCTACTACAGCCTGCAGCAAGTTATTTTGCGCCTTACTGAAAGAAGAACTTTCTGTTGACCAGATCACAGCATCTTAAAGGACTGAAGACACCACTGCGAAGCCTGTTCCAAGGATGCCTACCTTGAAGAAGTTGTCCTCCTCCTTCCAAAAAGATCTCAGTGGATCTCTCTCCCACTGCAACCCACTGGTGAACTCCTCCGCCTTGAAGCTCTTCAACCACATACTGAAGCAAACGCATTACTACAGCCATGTCTCCTTTCTCAGTACCTGCCTACACAGCCGGCTCATACCCCATGGACTCCAAACAACGTTCAGACCATCCCAATTTGGACCAAACACAGTCCTGACGAAGGGTGTAAACCCAAACCGTCAACTTTCCTGCTCCTCTGATGCTGCCTGGCCTGCTGTGTCCTCCAGCTCCACACTGTATTAATTTTAAAGGACTTTACAGCCAATTAAGTATTTTTGAAGTTCAGTCATTGTTATAAATATGGGACATGCAGCAGCCAACTTGTGCATGGCAAGCTCCCATGAACAACAATGTGATAATGTTAACCTGCCTGAGTGATAATGGCTGAGATAAATAGTTCCCAGGACATCAGGAGAAACCCCCACTCACTTTCACAATACAGCCACTGGAATTTTGTCATTCAGCCAAGACAGCGAATGAGATGTTTGTTTGACATTTCATTTGAAAGGCAGCATTCCTGCAGGTACTGCGCTGGGAGGGTTCCTCAGTTTTGAATGATATTAAGTTAATGAAGAGGGTGAGAGACTGGAGGTCAGCCAGATGTTTTGCAAATTGTCCGTGCCTGCCAAAATACCAAGGACTTCACTGTACCAATTTTCACTTTCACTGATTTACCCCAAAAGGGATATGGAAGCTCAATCATCAAATAAGTTCAAGACAGAGACTGAGATTTACCTTTTTTTTAGTTACCAATGACATCAAGGGATATGGATATAGCGCAAGAATATGGCATTCAGGTAGATGATCAGCCATGATCTGAAATGGCACAGAAGGCTTAGCAGACTAAATGGCCTACTCCAATCCCTGTATTTTCCTGAAATCTTCACAAACTTGTTTCTCCCCAAATGAAATTATATCTGCCCTTCTCTCAAGTCACAATACAGATCAAGAATATTTCCCGCCCCCAGCCTTTCCTCCAGCAGTGGCACTGTTCCGTTGGCATATACCCTTTCTCCTCATCATTGTCTATGTAACTCTGACCATGCTGCGGAACATCCTTGTAGGAGCAAAGAGCCCAACAACCAGCTTACCTGCCAGACACTCCTCTTCTCCTGGCAACTGGCCAACGAAAAGTTCTCCTTGTTGCAACAGGGTGCAAAATAATTTGCCACAGGTTGTAGTAGCAGTGAGGATTTCAGCTTCCTCTTCAGCCTAATGTGAAGCACAAAAATCTTACTGTTAACAGATACTAATATTGACAATTTTCAAGTTACTGTTACACTTTATTTAAGTCTTTAAACTGTGGAATTCAACCGATGCAAAGAAATAATTTGCATTTTTCCAATCCTGAAACCATTTGATCATAAACTAACTACTTTCTAAACATAATTATAATTGTTTTGCAGACAAACACAGCAGCCAATATGCAACCAAGAAGCTCGTTCATAAGCGGCAAGTAATGACTTTTCAGGCACTGGGCAGAAATCTCCTGGTCTCCTGTAGTGCTGGCACCTGAGAGGGGAGATGAGCTTCAGCTTAACAGCTCAGCCAAAAGCACTCCATCAGTACTTACCCCAAACATCAGTCTGGGATTACATGGAATGCTGATAAGAGATCAGCTTTTTGTGAGAAGAATGTTGGCCTAGACAAGAATGCAATTCCTGCTATTCTTAACTGGCTTCATGTTAAAGACGAACCAAGTGATGTGTGGAGTCAGCACTGATTGTCAGCTTGTTTCTTTTGGAAGTATCTTTGCTTTTAGGACAAACTATTTCACGTTGGATCTTGATACTAGAAGTGATGGCAAATTTTCCAGCATTCCTTCCTAAACAGACACTGGCAATTTTTTGTTAATCAAATGTTGCCGTATACAAAAAGACTGCTATGCTTACCGACATAAAATCACTGCATTTCAAAAGTTGTCTATGTATGTGAAATCTTTAATTACAATCCTTCCCTTTCTGTCCCCTGGTTCAGTCTCATTATGCAAAAAGTTACAACACCAGGTTATAGTCCAACAGATTTATTTAAAATCACAAGTTTTCGTATAACTGCCCATTAGACCCATTAAGATGTGACTCTGAGCTTGGGCATTCTCAAATAACGGGAAGTTTACCACCACTGTTGGACTCTTCAAATTTCAATCCAAAGCTATCATAAAACATTTACCGTATCGCACGAAGGATAATCTATTACCCCTTGCCCAGAATTGTTACAGTGCAGAAAGCCATTTGGTCTCCCTCTTAACATCTCAAGATATCGGGTTCAAATGCACCATCTTCAGACATGGAAGTTATAGCAATGTACAGAACAGAAACAGACGCTTGGGTCCAACTTGTCCACGCTGGCCAGATATCCTAAATTAATCTAGTCCCATTTGCTGGGATTTGGCGCATATTCCTCTAAACCCGTCCTATTCATGTACCCATCCAGATGCCTTTTAGATGCTGTAATTGTACCAGCCTCCACCACATCCTCTGGCAGCTCATTCCATACACTCACCACTTTCTGTGTGAAAAAGTTACCCCTCAGGTCCCTTTTATATCTTTATCCTCTCACCTTAAGCCTATGCTCTCTGGTTTTGGAGTCCTCTATCCTGGGAAATAGACCTTGGCTAGTCACCCTATCCAGGCCCCTCATGATTTTATAAACCTCTATAAGGTCACCCCTTTTCACCTCCAGGGAAAAGAAGCCTCAGCCTATTCAGCCCCTCCCTATAGCTCAAATCCTCTAGTCCTGGCAACATCCCTGTAAATCTTTTCTGAACCCTTCCAATCTTAACACCATCTTTCCTGTAACAGGGAAACCAGAAGTGAATGCAGTATTCTAAAAGTGGCTTACCTAATGTCCTCTACAGCCACAATATGACATACCAACTCCCATACTCAATGCACTGACCAATAAAGGCAAGGGTACTAAATGCTATACTACCCTGTTGACTCCATTTTCAAGGAACTATGAACCTGCACTCCAAGGTCTCGTTGTTCGGCAACCCTCCCTAGGACTTTATCATTATGCGTAAAGTGACATTTAAGTGACTCTTGGGTAGGTACATGGATGATAGTAGAATGTAGGGTATGCAGGATAGTTTGATCTTAGTAGGATAATAGGTCAGCACAACATCGTGGGCCGAAGGGCCTGTACTGTGCTGTACTGTTCTATGTTCTCTATGTTCTCCTGCCCTGATCTGCCTTATAAAAATGCAACACCTCACATTTATCTAAATTAAACTCCATCTGCCACTTTTCAGCCCTTTGGCCCATTTGATCAAGATCTCTTGTGCTCTTGAGATAATCTTCTTCACTGTCCACTACACCACCAACTTTGGTGTCATGTGCAAACTTACTAACCATACCTCCTATATTCACGTCCAAATCATTTATAATTGATGACAAAAAGCAGTGGACCCAGTACCGATCCTTGAGGCACACTGCTGGTCACAGGCCGCCCCTCTGAAAATCAACCATCCACCATCACCTCTGTCTCCTACCGTCAAGCCAATTATGTATCAAAATGGCTAGTTCACCCTGTATTCCATGTGATCTAACCTTGCTAACCAGTCTAACGTGCGGAACTTTGTCGAACACCTTACTGAAGTCCATATAGACAGTGTCCTCCTCTCTGCCTTCATCAATCTTCTTTGTTACTTCTTCAAAAAACAACCAAGTTAGTGAGACATGACTTCCCACACACAAAGCCATATTGACTCTCCGTAATCAGTCCCTGATGTTCCAAACACACGTAAATGCTGTCCCTCGGGATTTGCTCCAACAACTAACCCAACAATGACATCAGGTTCACTGGTCTATAGATCCCTGGCTTTTCCTTACCACCTTTCTTAAATAATGATGTAAAGGTGCTGGTGTTGGACTGGGGTGGACAAGGTCAGATGTCACATGACACCAGGATATAGTCCAACAGGTTAGACCCTCAGCATGTGCTCTAATACCTTTCATGTTATTCCAACCGTTTGGTTTGTCTCCAGAACCACCTTATTTTTAATATTTAATATTTTGTAATTATCTCTCTGCCTCAAATAATTGGATTATAAATCACCCCTTCATTTACCATTCAGCTGTTGACACTTTGCTCACACCATCTGACACTTTTGATCACCTGCAGAGACTTATTATTCGACACTCCACTCACACCATTTGTATGATCTTTTGATCTCTCTATTTATAAATTCTGTACTTGTACACTTTTCTTCACTGCACCTGACAAAGGAGCAGCGTTCCAAAAGCTTGTGATTTCAAATAAACCTATTCGACTGTAACTGGTGTCATGTAACTTCTGACCTTCTTAAACAATGGCATCACATTAGCCAACCTCTAGTCTTCCAGCAACTCACCTGTAGCTATCGAAGATACATGTATCTCAGCAAGATGCCCAGCAATCACATCCCTAGCTTCCCATTAAAGTTCTGGGATACACCTGATCAGGTCCAGGGGATTTAGCCACCTTTATGCATTTTAAGACTATCAGCACTTCTTCCTCTGTAATATGGCCCATTTATTTCTCCAAGCTCTCTAGCTTCCATATCCTTCTCCATGGTAAATACTGACTCAAAATACTCCTTTAATATCTCAGCCATCTCCTGCAGTTCACACATAGGCAGCCGTGTTGATCTTTAAGGGGCCCTGTTCTCTCCCAAGTTACTCTTTTGTGATGAGAAATCTTAAGAGTTTAGCCCTTCATTAAATAAACATTTGATGTGTCTCATTCTTTGATCAGAAGCCTCACTCCTAACAGTAAGTGCATATCAATGCAACTTGTTTCACGTGAAGGCAGAACATTTTTACGATGTGACACAACCTAATATAAAGACTGCCTCTTCCTTTAAGTCTCATCTCCTAACTTTTCCTACAAGCAGATTTATGATTTGATATTGGGCATTAAATCGCCAAAGTTGCTGGCTTCAATTTAGCTAAGGATCAAGGCAAACAAGTTTGGCCTGAAGCACTTTTGCTCCAGGCTTTTGAAACCAGACTTTCCAATTGGAAATGCCACTAAGAGAACTTATTTTTATGGCAGAGGGCATCACCCTGAGGATGTCACAAAGTGCCTCACAGGCAATGAGATTTTACAAATGCCATTGTTGTTTTAACAAAAATATGGCAGCCAATCTGCACACAACACAATCACAAAAAAAATTGTTAGGCTGATTGAGGGATAAGTAATGAGCAGGACACCAGGATGAACTCCCCTGTTCTTAGTCAATATAGTGCCATGGGTCATCATTTAATGGCTCATCCAAAAGACAGCATCAGTGACAGAGCAGCACTCCTTCAGTGTGATAATATTCTTATTTATTCAAAACAATTATCTCTCACTTTATAGTTGGAGACACGCTCAGCACCATTTGGAACAGGATTGGTTACGGGAGATGAGGAAGGGGAGTTCACCATAGGGTCCTAAGGTCACATACACCAAAAATCACACACTGCTACCGTATTCCGGTTTACATGTTCTTGCAGTGCACAGACAAGCATAAGGTCGTACTGATCCCACCCCACTGCACCAAGGACCTTGCTGTGCCAAAACCTACTCCACCCCCACAATCTTGCCATGCCCAGGCCCACCCACACGATCTTGCCATGCCCAACCCAGCCACGGACTCTTGCTGTGCCCACCCCAGCCATGGCATCTCTCCATGCCCAGGCCCACCCATGGGATCTTGCTGTGCCCACCCCAGCCATGG